GGAGGCGGCCCGAGCAGCCAGACGTGGGCAGGAGGCCGCAGGTTTATTGCCCGCATGGTGCATCGGGAGCAGCAGAGTGGCAGCGTTGTTCCAGGGCTCTCAGGGGCACGATCACTCTCCAGCCCTGTCCTGGTGGGCCTGTCCCGGCAGTGGGCACACGTTGCACCCCAGTCTCTGGTAGTCTCAGTGCAGGGTGGGCTTTCCGGGGTTGGGTTCACCAAGAATGGGGGACACTGGGACTGGAGTGCATGAAAAGCCCCTGGGCTGAGGGCAGTAGAGAGTGGCATAGGGATCAGGGGTCCCAGGGTGGGGTTGGGGTACTTGTTGGGCCCCACAGCTGAGGATATCAGGGTACATGGGGGGGCCCAGGGCTGGAGATACTGTGGAGATGGAGATATGTGTGGGGTACCAGGGACACAGTCTAGGCTGGGCTGGGGGTGAGGTGGGGGCTGACCCCGCTCACCTGTCTGGACATCACTCTCTACCTTTAGCTGCAGCACATGGCAGTGTGTCCAGGAGGCAGCTGCACTCCACAGCTGGGTGAGCTCTGCACTTGCTGCCACTGTGCCGTGCCTGGCCCAGATCTGCCCAAACACCGCTAGGGCACAGGGGGCAGGTCATCCCCTCCCTGCCTGGTGTCACCCCAGATGAGTACAAGGTGGCAGTGCCTGCTTGGGATGGGCAGTAGGAGGGGTAGTGAATGGGAACCTGGTGGAGACAGAGCAAAGCCCCAGCATGGGGTTTGGAGTTGTAGGAGAAAGGTCTGTGAGTGGGGCAGGAAGGTGCTGACTGGCCTGGGGGAGAGTGAGGGGCCACTGCAGCCCCCAGAGCAGGCAATAATCCCACAGGCAAGACCAGTGCCAGAGCACGGAGTGAGGGCACATCCCCAGAGCCAGGGCTCTTGTTGCTTCATCAGGGCTGGTACCAATAGGGTGCCAGACTATGCCCATGGTTTGCACAGCTCTGGGACGTGCAGAAAGAGCCATGCCTCCAAGGTGCACCAGGCCAGGGACCCTGAACCCTCCTCCTGGATCTGCCATGGCAGCCCCAGCACCGACACAGGCATGGTGCCAGGCTCAGCTGGGACAGCATCTCTTTCCCTCAGCTGCTGCTCCTCTGTCCCCTTGGCAGGGCCTGCCCTGTTACTAGTGCAGAGGAGCTGGCACTGCTGGAGCAGCCCCTCAGTGCCTTGGGGTACCCCAGAAAGGTGTCCAGCCCAGCAGGCATAAGAGTCCACTGGCACAGTGTGTACAAAGACACGGTGCTGGGACAGACAAACCCCAGTGTCCATCCATCTCCAGGTGCCCAGCATCAGGCTGGGGTAGGGGTCTCTGCCAGGGGCAGCACCGACCACTGCCATCCAGTGGTGCCCAGGACTGGGAGCATGCCCAGCTTCCATACCTTTCATCATCTCTTGCCTGGATGAATCAACACTGCACACTTAATGATTGACAAGGGGAAATCTTGCCCCTGGGGCAAGGTCCACAAGCTTCCAAAAATGCAGATGTTCCCCTTGTCAGAGCCTCCTGTGGCCAGGATGCATCAAACTGGGGACCAGGGGCAGAAGAAGAGCCTGGCCTTCTATTGCTTCTCACTCTGCCGGGTTGGGGGAAGAAACTTTGGGGCTGGTGAGTAGGGAGAGGGTGGGGACTGGCAGCAACCTGTCCCACAGCAAATGCCCACAGGAGAGAAGTCCTGAAACATCCTCATGTGGCTTGGGCCAGCAATAACAGATGGGGCTGAAGACCAAGCAAGAGATGAGAACATGGCAAGAACCATGAGCTGAGGATGCAGGAGCAGTACTCGGCTGGCAGGTGGCAGTGCCACCAAGCACGAGGGACAGCAATTACAGCTGCTGCCTGCACCTCCCAGCCCAAAGGGGAATTTCACCCCTGCTTTGTGAACACAGGACATCACACTCGGGAACAGGCAAAATTTGCCTGCAGACACCTTCCCAAAATAGCTGTGGCAGCCAAATGCCTTGGCTCCCATGACAGACAGCCCAGGGAAACAATTTATTGACCCTTGTGGTCACCCAGGAGCTGCCCTATATAGAGGGATGTGGGACATCTCTTGTACCCAGCCCTGCTCAGGCAGTTGCCTGCAGGTACATCGGGTCCCCCCTGCCCCAGATTGGGTCTATGCTCTTCTCCCAGCTCCTGCTTGAACCAGCTGGGATTTATCCCCTGCACACAGCAAGGAGCAGCACCCACACCCTCCACTGCAAGCACAAGGGTGGCCGCACAGTGACACAGTCTACACCAGCCTGTCCCAGGGGCACCCACTGTCCCCCAGAGACAGAGCAAGAATAAACCAAGATGGTCTTTAGCAAAATCCATCAATTTCTTTATTTACAGAGTCAGCAATAAATAGTGGAAAGCCAGGCAGCAGGGGTGCTAAGCTGGGAGTGCAACCAACCCTTCTGTGAATGGGGCCAGGCTGGGAGCCCAGCAGTGCCCAAGCTCCCTGGGACAGCAAGGGTGCAAGAAGGCAGATACATACCGTGACAGTTTTCTGACCCTGGAACAGGGTGAGACTCAGGCCCTGCTAGAGGGCAAGCCAAGGAGGTGAAGGACAGGAGTGGCAGAGGAAGCAGCAGGCAGAGCAGAGTGCAGGCAGCTGCCTCGCCTCTGTCACTGGGAGCAGGTCTGGCAGCTCAGGTCCCTCCAGTTTTCACAGCCTCCCATAGCAGAACTACAGAGGAGGAGAGGGGCTTTCCCTCCACCCCCAGGCCAATGAGATGCTTCTGTAGCCGAGACTAGACAGGACTGGGTGCATATGAGCTGGGAAGCAATCCCATGGGGGGGCATTGTGCCAGATACTGATGGCACCAGCTTGGTGCCAAGCACAACAACGCCTGAATCGCTCGCCCTCCTTGACCTGGCTCCACCAGGAGACCCCCAGCCACCTCCTAAGAGCGTTGTGCTCCAGTCCAGGGACCCAGCTCTTCTCTGGGAGCATTAGGGCAACCCCCCCTGCCCCCCAAAACCAGGCAGCGGCTGTGGGGCTGCAGGAAGGACAGATGCCACAGGGCAACCGCCCCAGCACAGGCTCCTGCCTTTAAAAACCTACAATTTACATAAAACTGCCATTGTAAAACCTTCCCGCAGAGCAGTGCCGCGGAGGGATGGGGGGGCAAACCTGCCCCAAAGCAGAGCAAGAAAAACCCTGGACAGTCTGGATCCGGCAGGGACAGGCAGAGCCTGGGAACAATGTGCCGGGGCAGCGGGCGTTACCGGCAGGTGCAGGACTCTGCGATCATGTTCTCGTACTCCTTGTAGAGGATGCTGCCGTCACGCTCGATCATGAGGACGCTGATGGGGCTGTAGCGGTAGGGGACGCAGGAGGGCCAGGGCACGTTGGCATCCACCAGCTGGTGGACGAAGCTCTGCACCACAGCGTGGTTGGGCGCGTGGTAGTCGTAGCGGAGCAGGCGGGGGCAGCCGCCCTTGCAGTAGCGTGGGTTGTAGCGGTGGGGAGCAATGATCCAGTGGTCCCAGCCCAGCTGGGCAAAGCTGACAGGGAAGGAGTGCAGCGAGCAGTCGCTCTTCTCCCCTCTCTGCTCCCGCAGGTAGCCAGGCAGGTCACGGGCCAGCGTCCCCGCGTCACGTCGATGCCGGTGGGGCTCTGTCTCTGGAGGTGCCAGCCCAGCTTGGGTGTCATTGAGGTAGAGGAGGAGGAAGGGGTGGCTGGGGGCCACCAGGGCATCACGGCCCCCCACCCGACCAGCATGCACACAGACGTGCCGCAGTGCCAGGCTCCCTGCAGTGCTGTTCCCCAGCACCAGGTAAGGGGTGACGTCTGCTTCAGCCCAGCCACGGCGGGGGCGGGCAGCAGGACTGAGCAGCACCCCAGGTGCCTCCTCGGTGGCTGCCAGCTCTAGTGTGCAGAGGAGGCGACCGTGGACCATCGGCAGGCTGGGCAGGTAGACCACAGTGGCTCGGAGGAGGTGCTCTGCCTCGGACTGGCCCTCCAGGCGGTAGGTGAGGGGCTGCACGTACCAGCGACCTGCAGGGAAGCAGCAGTCAGTGGCCCCTAGTACAGCACAGCAGGCACCGTGCCGGCACAGACTTCTCCCAGGATGCTGATGCAGCTCCACACATCACAGTGGAGCCCATGGCATCACCACCCTCAAAACCTGTGACAGCCAGGTGCCCCAGAACAAGGCAGGAGCCTCAGCAAACAGCAGCCATGTGCCATGGCTCACTGGTGGAGTGCAGGGCAAAGTGCAGCTGGGAGAGTTCCCATCCTCTACAGCAACACCAATAGCCTGGCACAGAGTCAGGCAGAATGGAGAAGAGAGGCACGCAATGCCAGTGGTAGAATCATAGAACCATTAAGGTTGGAAGAGACCTCTAAGATCATCAAGTCCAACCTTCAACCTAACACTACCATGACCACTAAACCATGTCCTGAAGTACCATGTCTACACATTTTTTGAACCCCTCCAGGAACGGTGACTCCACTACCTCCCTCGGCAGCCTGGTCCAATGCCTCATCACTCTTTCAGGAAGTAAATTCTTTCTAATATCCAATATAAACCTCCTCGGCACAACTTAAGCCCATTTCCTCTTGTCCTATCGCTAATTACTTGGGAGAAGAGACCAACAGCCACCTCACTGCAGCCCTCTTTCAGGGAGTTGTACAGAGCAAGAAGGTGTCCCCTCAGCCTCCTCTTCTCCAGGCTAAACAATCTCAGTTCCCTCAGCCACTCCTCACAAGCCATGTTCCGCAGACCCTTCACCAGCTTCATTGCCGTTCTCTGGATCTGCTCCAGCACCTCAATGTCTTTCTTAAACTGTGGTCCCCAACACTGAAACCCGTACTCAAGCTGTGGTATCATTGCC